GGCAGGGCCTGGCCTGGCCGCTTGACTGCGGAGGGCTGGGCCTGGTGCCCGGGCCTGACTTCGGAGGGCAGGGCCTGGCTGGGATGCGTGACCCGACGGAGAAGCCCGAGAATGGCGGCGGCCGCTGGGCTGAGAGCCCGGAGAAGATGGCGGCAAGGGCACGGGGCACTGAGCTGTAGGAAGCGCAGGAAACAGACAGCGCCGCTCTGGAAGCTTCTGAGCCTGGGCAGCCTCCTCGCGGCCGGGCTGCTTCCTCCCACGGCCCCTCCCCGGGCTCGCGGTCAGGGTCGGAGGCCCGCTGGCCTGGCCAACTCCCCTCATGGCTTGCACCATGGCGGCCACGCCGCCCGCGTGTGAGGCCTGGAGACCCAGCCCCGCCCCGGGCACCACACATCTCAGCTTGGCGTGGGGACTGCGGCCGCCCTGGAGGTCAGCACGCTCCCTCTCCTGCACACAGCCCGTGGAGGGCAGCTCCGGGCCCTCGCCATTGATCGAAATGGCGCCGACGGCAGCCAGGGCGGAAGCAGAGGAACCTGCCGTACCGCTCTGTGGGGCGCCACCACCCGATGGAGAAAGGCCGCTCGAGACCGAGGGGACCAAGGTACTGGGATCGGGGTCGCCAGGGGCAGGGGCGACCTCGTTCTTCGGCCCTTCGGGCACCTCACCCTGCTCCTGCATCTGCGCCTTCTGGTCGGACGACGGAGTGTCCATAACGCCAGATTCTCTCTCAGAGACGCGGGAGCGTGGCTGCAAGACGCTGCCTGGGTAGAGCTCCGGCAGAAGGAGTGCGGAGGATGGGCGTGTCCTGGTCGGATCTTCACCTCTGATTGGTCGGGTGGTTGTCACGTGACTCTCGTCTTAAAGGGAGCGAGCCAACCTAGCTCCGTCTGGCGCCAAACCAAACCGTGTGCTCCGCCATTCTAGGGGCCGCTGCTGCCCGGGCCACGATGTGAATTTCCGATCCATACCTGGACCCCTAAGAGAGAGAGACAGAGAGAGAGAGAGAGTGTGTGTGTGTGTGTGTGTGTGTGTGTGTGTTTCGAGGGCGTGGGCAGCGATGGTGTCTGTATAAACAGTTTGAGTCACCCCCCAAATCAATTTAGTTTGTCAGCACCACTCTGTTGGTGAAACTTTCAAGCAGTGGCTTGAAAGAAATACCACACTGACCAAGAGGAGATACCGCTGAGCTGGGCATCCCTCCTGGAATCCCGTCAGGATGCAGGGCCCATGTGTGACTCCAGAAGAGACTGTCCCAGAACTCCTCTAGTGGGCTGTAGGGTTGGAGAACGGCGTGAAAGCAACAAAAGGGATGGGGCCCACAGTGCCTGGGCTCGGGATGTTCAGCACTGCTGCCACGCACCCAGAGGCGGATTTAGAATTTTCCAGTAGGATGCTTCTCCTTGCCTTGCCCCCTGAACACAGAGTGGGGTTGCCTGGGATTAAGGATGATACTGTCCTTAAATATGCATCAACATTTGTATGGGCTGCATAGTAATCCACTGATGAATGTACATTCATTTGTGTGACCTACTCTCTAGTTTCTGTTAATACAAATATGCTGTGATGCACAGGCTTGAAGTCTAATATTTAGACCAGATTTTTAGTCATTATTACAGAAGGGCTGCCATTTCAGTACCCAAAACAGACAGCCAGCACCTAAATTCTGACACACCTGTAAGGCAAGTTACACGTAGTTTATTTTATGAAATGGGATCACTTATCCATAGATATTGTTTGGTCACCTGCTTTTTTGGGTCCAGAAAACTCTCTCTCCATGTCAAGAAGTAAATTTCCACAAGGCCATTTTTAAGTACAAAATATTGCATTTATACCAGAAGCTTACATCTTCAAACATTCCAATATCAACCAACTTTTCACCCTCTATAACACATCACTGCGAAGCACATGCTTCTTACTAAAAATCGTTCATATCCTCAATTGTGTCCTTGCTATGGATAGACTCCCAGATGAAGAAATTCTTGGCACAGGCCATGCACATTTGTAACTCTTTGATTAAAATATTAGCAAGATGTTCTCCTGAAAGTCACCATTATGACAATTTCAGCTGAACGGAATGGGAGGCTTACTGGACCGGAGGAGCAACTGGAGCGAAACACAACGCGAAGTAGAATGGAATGGTATTTGGAGTGTTAAATAATATGGAAGGGAAAATGGATTTGAAATGGAATGCAGAATGGGATGAAGTGGAGACTAACTGCAGTGGGAATTGGAATGAAATGGGGGATGGAATACAGACTTAAACAGGATATGGAATGGAAAATTGAACAGGATGGAAATTGAATAGAATATAATGGGAAAATGGAATGGAAAGGAGGATGGAAATAAATATCTGATGGCGTGTGGAATAAAAAAAAATATATAAGTAACGTTACATGAGAAAAAGAATGGAGTGGAATATACAGTGAAGTAAAATATTAAAGAAAATGGGAGGAAACCGATGGAATAGAATTTGCAAGGTCATGAAATCAATGGACTATGAAATTTGCACTTTAGATTTAAAAGTACCAGGATGGAATAGCAACAAATGGAATGAAACTTGGAATGAAATACAGAATACAAAGTTATGAAGGGTGGAATAGACAATGAATATAAATAAAATGGAATGGAATATGGAAAGTGAAATACTGATGAAATAGAGGATGTGCTTAAATGAAGAGAATGTGTTCTCATCTACTGCTCCATAACTTAGTGTCATGGAACAATGACCATTTGATCATGCTCAGGCATCCTGTAGAGCTAGAATTCAGACAGGGCAGACGGCAGATGGCTCATCTCTGCTCTACGATGTCGTCTGAGGCCTCAGCTGGGAAAACGTGAATGTCTGTGAGATCATGAGTGAAGGACGGCAATCAGGACTCTTAGATTTTGGCCATAGTATCTGGGTGGATGGTGGTGCCACTTCCTGGAATTGGGAAGACTTGCAGGACTGGGGACACAGTGGGAATCCAGTGATTCTCAATTCCCCCCAAAAAAAAAAAAAAAAA